TTTTAATTAATTTTGTACTTAAAATATTCTAAAAGAAACATAACAATATTGTTTTATGTACTTTCACTTTTCACGTATAGTATAACTACTCTTTAAGATTAAATACTGTGTATCTCAAAAACCAGAGCTAATAAAAATTTTTCATTGTTATTTTCGTTTTTATCACCCCAAAATTAGTAGAAATTGACTAATTTAGTGTAGGAAACATTCAAAAAATATTTTTTTGTTGGGTTGTGTAATTAATTAATATTCGGGAGAGGTGCATTATGACATGCTCAAAGTTGCACCTTTCCTCTCATGGAGACCTAACCCAGCTAATGCCGCGCAAAGAGTTGAAGTAAAACCACCGGGCACCTGAGCAACGTCTTTCGATTCGGAAGATCCGTCGCAAGTTATTCCCCACTATGAAAAGCAGAAATTAATTTTGTTTGGTCGATGTGACCAACCAATAGACGAGTTTTGGGGTGATTTCCCATCATCAGTACCGGGTATGGCCTCTTCAGAACGGTATGAACCAACAAATATAATTACAGCTACTCATGAAATCTTTCTCCAGTTGATTAAGTGGGATATCCACTGCGCCATCTGCAGACAGAGCCAGAAAACAACTCCACAAACATACTCCAGAGCAGGAGTCGGAATAATGATTAATATTCCGGAGAGGTGTATTATGACATGATCATGGTTGCCCTGCTGGAAAATAATTCCATAAAAATCAAAAGATGAATAGATAAGTGTCATTCTGATCCCACACATTCAAGAGCCACTTGGCTCACAAAATGTAAATAACCAAAAATAGTAGGTAGGTACTTGATGAAAATAACTGCGTAAACGCAAGCGAGACATAAGTGGAACCACTTATTGGTGTGAAACCCCAGTCAACTTGCCAAAATGTTATGTTAGTGTTGGTGGTTTGACCAATCAACCAACAACTGCTTTAGCAGAAATCTGGGAAGCTATTTTGGAATGCCATCGCAAAACGAATCTACATCGTTCCTAGTATTTCTTGAACATTTTAAGAAATTTCCACATGCTTCTCCAACGCTAGTCTTGCTAGAGCTGGGTAACCATTCCTCGCATATACACATCATTAGATTGGACTTTTGTCAAGAAAATGGAATAACTTCACTATTATAGTAAGGTGAAGTGGGGTGAGTGCGTAACGGGGACAAATGCGTTTATCGGCTATATTTATTATTATATGAATCAAATTACAGTTATTCACATGTGTAAAGAGAGAAACGGTTGCTGTTACCTCTTTAATATAGATAGCTCAGTGAAATGTGAAGAAGTCGCCTGTTCAACCAACTGATAGAAACAGGTGAACAAGTTGTTCGTGCTGTTTCAGTTATTTTATTAATTGTACAATATTATGTTGAAGGATAAATTATGGTAAGTACATGAGAATATATTTTGAATTCTATGTTAGACATGGAAATATTTAGCTTTTTTCATAAGTCTACTCAAAAATCATTACTCTGCTCTTGCCCCGTTGATATTTCCATCTGGGGCTTGTGCAGACCAACGTGGCGGGGAAACTGCATATCGGTCTACTCTTGCCTCAGCTTTGTTTCTTGTTGAATTCATTTTGGTTATACACTTACTTAATAATTTAGTTGAATGACCATTGAAATTTGGCGAAGAATTTTGATAGGGACTTCATCTGTATTTTTTTTTGTTTATCAACTTTATTTTAATTTTTTATGATTTATTAATGTTTTTATTCTAGGGTTGCCATGCTGGTCCGCAATTATGTTAGAAAAACCAACAGGGGTGATTATTCGAGAGAATCGCTAGAACAAGCTATTGCGGAGATTCAAGGCGGACATATCAATGCTTATAAAGCTAGCAAACAATATGCTATACCATTAAACACAATAATGCCAAAATCCTTTGGCAGAAGCATCGTGATTCCAATCCAAGACGAAAAACGATCAGCTGAGGGTCTTCTGAATTTGGAGAAATATGGTTTTGGATTGTCCAGATATAAATTACTTCAGCTTGTTGTGCAGTTCGTTCAGTCAAAAAAGAATAAGACTCCTTTCAAGGACGGAACCCCCGGTATTGGTTTCTTGGATTCGCCAAAAGAAATAATTCGTCGATAAAAAAGCCACAAAGCGTGAAGATAGCCCGCAAAAGATATTGTAATACTTTTTATAATTGACACATTATGAGTTAGAGTTAGAAAACGAACCTAGTAGAATCTGGATCCTGAACGAAATAATTTTCAACGGCAAAAATATTTGGGACCAGTGGCAGTTTATTTTGTTTAAGAGTTTTTTTTTCCTTATACTTACTGCATAACAGTTTATTTACGAGTACAAAAGAGCTTGTTTAAATATTCCACAATACGCAAACGTTTCAATCAACCAATCCCTTGCTGAAAATTTCACCAAAATATGTCTGTATTTTTCAAAAAAAATAACTCTGAAACCAAGCAAGATAACTGAATGTGGCGAAAAGCAGTTGAATATAGATTTATTATAAATTACGCTCTTGCCCCGTAAATGTTTCAATAAGGTTTAATTATGCTTTTAACTGGCATGTACGCTCTTGCCCCGTTTTGACGGGCAAGTGCGGATTATTGACATGTAGTGAAATTTTCTGTTATTATGTGATCGATCCGCATCCGGACCCTTAAAAACTAGTATTTATCCTTACAATCGTAACATATTTCAAGAAATTGACTTTGAATTATCTTTTGTAACGGACAGACCAAACTCTAATACTGAATGAGAGACTAATGCTGCAGAACCATCTTTCGAAACAGAAAGACTAACCTCTCACACTGGAAAGAGTGCAGAGGTTAATCTGCAGACAGATATAATATAGTTTCAAGCGATTAGGAATTCCAGATTTTATTTATTTTGTTACGTTGTTAATGCGGATTGCAGTAAATGCAATGTTACCGATAATATTGGACATAGGTTAACAACGTGTGGTCCAGCAAGGGATAGGTATATAGGAGTGGAGTAGAAACAAACTATTTAGTAGAACAAACTATTTAGGATATATGGATTGACAGCTATGTACACGGAACCCAAAGAATTATTCAATGTCAAGATAGATAATATATTGGATAGAAGAGTGTGGGTTTGGGAAATCTGTGGAATTGTTCATTACAATTTAGATGTTAATAAACACATATTGATCATTTCCAAATTCATTTTTTGATTTTCATAGAATTATTTTCCAGCAGCTTGACTGAAGCAACCTTTCTAGATTTCATATCATTTCTAAAAACATGTGGATTCGTTTTCCGATGGCATTTCAGGTTAGCTTTCCAAATGTCTGCTATACCGCAGTTGTCGGTTGATTGGTCAAACCACCAACATTGACAAACAAACTTGGCAAGTTGACTTCGGTGACACACCAATAGGTGGTTCCACTTATGTTTCGCTTGCGTTCACGCAGCTATTTTTATCAAGTACTTTCTTTTCAATCGAGGACCGGTACTGACGATGCCCAAAGGCTGAAACAGCTGTCTACCGGTGACTCTTAAATTGAAATCAATATGGAAATGATCAAAAAGTGCTTATCTATTTATTTTTTGATTTTCATGAAATTATTTTCCAGCAACTTGACTGCATTAACCTTTCTAGATTTTATATATACAGTGTGACCCATTTTTAATGGAAACAACCCCCTAAAATTAGAATTTGTAAATCGATTTTAATAATTTTTTTTAAATGTCAAGTACTAAAAGGTCTACCTTGGGACAAAATTTGAAATATTTATTTAAGTTTCAGGGCATACTACAATATTTTTTCTTAGTCGAAAATCGGGATTTTTTATTAGCGATTTTTTATTGAAAAAATCACTACGCCACTGGATTCAGAGTGCCTCTAAATGGGTGTGACCAAAATTTCATGAAAAAATATTCATTATTAACAAAGTTATGACAACTCAAAAATTCGAAAACTCACACAGCTAACAGTAACAATATATAATATCCCACACCAGATAATCACAAGGAACATTTTTTTTGTGAGTCCTAATAGAAAACAATTTCAAACAATAGTCAAAGTAAAGTTTCAATATTCAATACAATAAGTTAATATTCATCTGAAGAAGGTAGGTACTATTATTTCCAACATAGTTCGTTGATGTCGATGAAAATTGGTCAGAGTATCTGGGATATCGACTCAATTTCCACAAATATCTACAGCAGTCTATCTATCCTTCTTCAGGAACTCTGTAGGTGTGTATTTAACAAAAGTATTTTTGTAAATCATCCCCTAAAAAAAATAACGCATATGGCCACCGCAGGTCATCATGAATCAATTGTGACGTGGAGACCCTTAACCAACAGTAACTACAATTTTTGCATCAGGACTGCATATTTCATTTATGTATTGTTTTGCAGAGAATATACAAAAAAAGTGTTATAAGTAGAACGTCAAGTTAATTTTTCTTCACCTATAGGTAACAAACATTAAAATGTAAGATCTCGTTAGTCCTTAGCTCGCACAAATTTTGACTTCTGAGGGTTGTCGTTCGTAGGGGTGCGATAGCTGGTTAACGGAAAAAAAATTTTTACATTTTTAAACATATAAAAATATCTGAACAGGTTTTCTCATTTAGCAAGAAATATCCATAAATCAAATATTCCTGGTTAGTTTCCTGAAAAACCGCGATTATACGTGATAACGAAATTCATAATGACACTGACACAAGATTGATATGCATAATAAAGACCATTAAACCCTACCGATGTTAACAATGGCGGGTCGTATTATTAAACGTGTTTTATAATGTTACCACTTTGTGTACTAATATACGGCATAATCATTAATACAAACACGTACGTGAAGTCTTCTATGCCATTTCGAAACCACACCCTCCGTCTGTCGGCAAACAAGCAGTAGGCCGGCCTTATTATACCACTCTCGGTGCTTTCATTGGCCGATAAATGTGATAAGGCGTCTCTCGACCTTTATGAAACCCTAGAGTGAACCAATCTACCCAAAATAATGATTAGTCGCATTACATACGTGGAAGTAGTCAGTGTCCAGAGTAATACAATTGTCTTATACATTTTGTGATAATGCAAATATGGTGGTATCTCAGGGATCCATAACAGTACCGTGTAAAATGTCACACACACCCCTCAAGTCTTTCACCATAAACTCTATATTACCCGAAACACTTCTTGATATGCGTACTGGCAGGTCAAAACCGGAAGACGACTGTTTTATGAAGGAAGAAACTGTATCTGATACTGAAGTGAGTGATTGTGAATCAGATCTAGACGTCACAGCTACAACACCACCGTTGGATTGTTCAAACAAGTGTGGTGAAGGCGACGAATGTGAAAAAGAAGGTAATAACTATATTTATGATGGTAACAAGTATTTAGCATATTGAGTACCCTTTCGAATTTTCAAGTTAGTCAAAAACAGTTTCTTCTGATACACATACCTTTTTAAATCTGAAAATTTTGCTTGAATTACTCTTTCCTCAAGTTCGAATTAGATATACCTCATTTTTTGCACATGATTTGTAAACAGAAACGAAAAATTTCACTTCAATTCCTAGCTTATGAAAATATTTATATGGATACCTTAGACATTTCTGACAGGGTGTGTCATGAATAATGGGACGGTCTCTAGTGCCTAGACGAAATATCAGAAGATGTTCTATAGACGATGCAGGTCACTTGCAGGCATACTTTTAAATAACTTTTCTTTATGCAAGGTGTTTTTGGAAAATGTAGGTATCTAACAAAATCAAAGTTATGTTTTTTAGATGGAACATCCCAATTCTCATTTCTTTTCACAGAGGACTTTCATTGCGGTTATCCATTACTAAATGCAGTTAATTTCCAGATAATGCATTTTTTTTGGAAAATCAGAAATATAATTTTCTGGGATTTGCTTCAAAAGTGTCTCTTCAGTATATCTATTCTTCTATCCAATTCGAGGTATTTTTTCGAATATTAATAGATGAAAAACGTGCCAATTAAAATTCAAACTTTGTTATCAATGTTACTTTAACTTCGATCGTCTATACAACCTTCGAAGTGTGAACGAAAACGTTTGAATACTGTTTTAAACACATTTTTATGCAACTACATAAATATCCATGTATCTTTCATTGAGGTTTTCGAGTTTTATTGCGAAACATTTGATTGGATCTCCCCTGGCTATCATTTATTCGAAGTCATAAATACACCTTCGATAGGTAATAATGAAAGTTTATAACGTATATATATAACGGAATTGGCCGATACTTGATGAAAATCTCATAACTAACATATTCAAAAAACACTTTATTGTGAGATTTTCACTAAACGTCTATTGTTGGTCTTCAGGGCGGTAAATTTGGGGTATATCTACTTCGTTTTTAATACATTGGTTGAAAAATCATATGTTTTGTGTCATTAAGGCACATCTTAGGATAAGTTTGAAATACCAAATGGCCAAAAAACGTTTAGTGAAAATCTCACAATAAAGTGTTTTTGAATACCTACGTTTAAAGTGGATGTGGTTTTAACCATAGGAGAGTGTTTCCAGAATTGCTTGTTGACATCTAGATCATATACGCTCAGAAGTAGCTAGATCAGTAATGTCCACGTAAGGAGGTTTTCGAGAGATTGCTGCAGAGAATTAGTTAATCTGCTTCCGTTGTTCATCCGAAACAAGAAAGAGGACCCGAAGTAACTGGAAATGAAGACATCGAGCACATAGTTCTGAGGTCTGTGGAGGAGAATCCAAATGTAAGCTCCAGACACATTTCAAATTACCTACACTGGGTCAGTCCAGCGCCAGAAGAATCTTGTGTGAAAACAAATATTATCCCTATCGCATACAGCTTCATCAGGAATTTGCTTATAGTCATGACTTTCAGCATCGAATTGATATTTGTTTATGGGCAAGTGAATGAGCAGGATGAATGAATTTTTTTTGGCTAAGTATCTATTATTCACAAATTGAATCCACATTTAATAATGATGGTGAATAGGCATTACAATTTTCATCAATGTGACACAGAAAACATGCAACGTCTATCATATCATCATCTACCCTCCAATACTAATATTATAAATGTGAATGTTTGTGATGATGTATGTATGTATGTTTGTGGCCCTTTCACGTCTAAACGACTGAACGGATTTCGATGAAACTTTTCACAAATACAGCTTATATATCAGAATAATCTATAGGCTACAACTCACAAAGGTTTTGTGTAATTTTGGTCATAATATAAACATAAGTATTGAGAACTTCGGAAAAATTCTTGCTCCCTGAGAGCTATATTGACGTGCGCTGCATATACCTTTCGAGTAACATGCAGATAATGTACCGTAAGATTGTTTATCTTAAATAGTAGCAAATATCTACCTCTTATGTGGTAGCCACTATAGGTATGCAAAATACTGAGCCATAAATACAATTAATTTGGATATCTTTTTGACAATGCACATTTTAGAATATCTGTCATATTCTTATGAAAGTTGATAAAATTGTCGTTTTAAATATTCAATAATGGTTAACTTTGTCTTCTACACTAAGTGATTTGGACGAATCGTTTAAAAGTTATCACAATGAGATTAACTTGACGCAACACAGTAGGTCATTGCGCGTCGCGTCTACTGTAAGACGACGAGGGGACGATGCGCGAGGTAGAGTGGCGGTCTAAACAATGGAGCGCGATCACCAAGAACGCGACCCGAACGCGGGCAGACGCGTAAGGGCAGACGTTGTTGACAGTTGTGATAGTTTTGCTAATTCCTTCATAGGTAACATAATTCGATTCTCAAAGCTATTCACTACTTAATGTAGTTGGCATATTTTTTCAGTTACTGTATTTTTAAAGTGAAATTATAAATTACTAGCTGTTGCCCGCCCTTATACTAAGGTACAGCCGAAGCAACTGATCCGACATCTGAAACAATTTTCAGGTATAGGTTCTTTATATAGCGTAAATAAGCATCAAGGTAGGGAATCCAGGAATTTCCACCCCCGAAAAATTGGGGTCAGAGTTTGTATTTAATTTCATCAGTTTCAAAATTGGAAATCTGAAGTTTTGGGTTGATAGAAAAATATTGTAACTATTTGTTCAAAATGGTCTGTCACGAAACTCAATTTGACAAACCAAATTCCACGTGGGCAAAGCTGCGGGCTTATGAATAGTTTCAAAAATGCCCCCGCGCATCGTCCACCTTCGTCATACAGTAGACTCGACGCGTATTAGCTTACTGCGTTGCATCAAGTTATTCTTATCTTGATAACTTTCAAACAATTCATCCAAATTACTTAGTGTAAAAGACTAAGTTCATCTATATGGAATACTCATACGACAATTGTATCAATTGTTATAAGAATTTGATAGATTTTCTAATATGTGTGTTTTAAAAAAAGTTTCCAATTTAATTTTATTTATGGCTCAGAGTTTTGTATATAGTGGCTACCACATGAGAGGTAGATATATGCTATCGTGGACTTTCATTTAGAACTATTTAAGATAAATAATCTTACGGTATATTATCTGCATGTAACTCCAACGGTATAGGCAGCGCACGGCAAGATAGCTCTCAAGGAGCAAGAATTTTTCCGACTCCCTTAATACTTATCGTTATATTATGACCAAAATCACACAAAACGTTTGTGAATTATAGCCTATATGTTATTCTGATGTATGAGCTGTTTCATCTGAATCCGTTTAGTCCTTTAGGCGTGAAGGAGCCACAAACATACATCCATCCCCACAAACTTTCACATATATGTATAATAGCATACATAAGATAATAGTCTATTTCGGAATTTCCTATATTTACAATTCAGTAAGTTTAGGTCGTGGATTCACGAATTTTTCTACGAAAAAGTCCCAAAAGTCACGTGATCGTGATCCAACAACTGGCAGAGTTATTTCGATCTGCCATAAGTCTCGGCAGGAGTTTTGAATTACGAATTCATTGTTGGATTCAACAATGCAATAATAATCACCTGAGCATAATCAAGCATATTGACATCTTCTCATGTGAAAACACCATATAGGATTGACAGAAATATCTTACTTATCCAAGATGAACAAGTGTCTGTTGTTGGAACACAAGTGATCTAATTTTTGAAAGACAGAAAAAGGGGGTTTCTCAGTCTACCGTTAATGTTGTAGCTTGGCATTGCAATAGGGCATCCTGGATGAGGGAAGTTTGAGGTTCATGTCGATGTTTCGTGGTCACTCACGTGGTCACTTACGTTCATCAAACATTTTGAAAACTTAAACAGTGATGAGATAACAGACAATGTTCAACTTTTCCATTTATCACTTCTTCGGTCGGTCGGTAGCCGGTGGGTACTTTGTTCACTCACTCGAATCGACCGCCGTGTTGGTCAGTGGTTCAAGCCCCAGGCTGAACGATCGATTTTCACTTGCTATCGTCCAATCCGTGTTAGGAATCACACGTTAAAAGATAAGACCTCTTTAGCCCGACTTCTGAGAGTTGTCGTTCGTAGGGGTGCGACAGTTGGTTAACGGAAAAACAGATTTTGAACAGATTTTTTTTCTGGGAGGCTAAACTCAGCAAAGTTATCGTCAATGGATAATGACAATAAAAGGAATTTTAAAGTTTCAAATATTAGGTGCTGAGTCCAGAATATATCAATAGTATTCTGAAAAAGTGGAAACAGGCCATCAAAACTTAAGCATATGAGGGAACAGTTTTCAAGTTTGCAATATTTGTAAAAAAGTTGTTCCATCGAAAATTTGGAATAATAGTATGAAATATTCACAATAGGAATCACATGTTCAAAGGTAAGACCTCGTTATTTCCTAGCTCGCACAAGCTTCGACTTCTGAAGGTTGTCGTTCGTAGGGGTGCGATAGGTGGTTAACGGAAAACATAGTTTAAACATAACATATTCCGTGAGTTCAACAAGCTCAATGTTGAATAGAAAATTTGCACTGTTAATGAAAGTTAATGTACATCGAGAGTAGAGAGAAAAAATTTCATTTCTGTTGTGTAAGAGAATTCAGTGTTTGTTTTGGATTCATTCTACACCAATTGTCCCTTTAAGTGAATTCTGTTAGGAATATGCATACTTACTTCCAATTGTATTCATATTTTATTGGGTTAATCATGATAATAATGGGAAGTCGATAAGTTGTAACTGGTTTTTAAACACCTATTTTTCGTCTGCTAAGAAATCATGAGACTTGTATGAGCAAAGGATCAATAAGGTTCACCACATTGGTCACCCATTGATTCCCCAAACAATTACTCTGTCTACTGAATTTAATATACATATCTGTTTAAAAAATCTATTTAAAATCTGTTTTTATGTTAACCAGCTGTCGCACCCCTACGAACGACAACCCTCA